CTAGATACGTCGCCGTATTTACACCATCATATCTGTTGTGTTTGGTAGTTTCCCTTTCTTTTCATCCTATTGCTTTGGTATTTTGCTGCTGCTTTTGACTGATTTCGTTAGAATGAGATTGGAAAAGATGAACATTGGTTATGTTTTTTCTTTTTGCTCTGAGAGAGTCGTGAGAGAGGATTCTATTTTGTGTTAGAATAAGGGTGGAAGTGAAAACACGTGGTGATTGACTGAGAAAATAATGGTTATTTTCTTTTCAAATTAGAAAAAACGTTATGGGGAACCCTTTCTTTTACATTTCATTTTCATCCAAATAGAAAATTAGAGTTGATTGTTACACACGTGAACCCCTCTCATATTTTTATTCCATTTATTGATTTATTATTATTGATACTTTTTTTTTTCTTTTTTTAAATCATTTTATCATTATTATTGCTTAGGATTTAAGATAAGAAGCTAAAGGCTTTGTTTAGTAAAAATAGCGGTTGACTGATAAGCTAGCTGATAGCTTATGACTGATGCCTGATGCCTGATAGCTTATAGCTTATAGCTGTTTGTTAAAATTAGCGGTTCAACTGATAAATGTTAAATGACGTAAAAGGACATTTCTAAATTATTAATAAAATTTATGTTTAAAATACTTAAAATTTAGTAATTTATATCTATTAAATCTTTCATATACTATTATTATATTAATTTTTATATGCTATTTTTTTTAAATTGTTTCAATTTTATAATAAAAAAATTAATGTTTCACATTAAGATGTACACGTGAAATAGTAAATTTATGAGACTTGAAAATCAACTCTATGTGAAATTGCAAACATACACTAATATAAAAAAATATTATTAATTTAAAATGAAATGTATATCAAATTAATATTTAAGATACATAAAATTAAACATAATAATAAAACATATTCAACATATTTATGTAAATGTTGCAATAACCATATAATAAAAATTAAGATAATCTCAACTATAATTATATTAATCTAAAATAATAATCTAAATAAGTCTATCGTCTAATATTCTAAACTAAAGCAGAAATATTGTTACGAATTTCCTTCGTCTTGGTTGATCTCCTTGCTCCCTTCTCTGATATGTCCGCACCTTGAGGACCAATAACACTATCTGAAAGATCATCATGAGGTACAAATTTGGATGTTGGTCTACGACAGTAAATATTGGGTCATCACGCGATTTGATGCGAATATAGTTATGCAATGCAAATGCTGCTATTATATCATCAATTTAAGTCTTAACACTAAGTTGTGGTATTTTATTAAGTATCTTCCATCTTTTCTTTAACACTCCAAATGACCTTTCTATACAACTTCTAAGAGATGAATGTGCACGGTTAAAGGCTTCTTGAGAATTAGTGGGGGGTTCATATTCAAATTGCGATTGGTGATACCTTATCTTAGGATAAGGCACCAAATATCTTTCTTTATCAGGATATCCTTTGTCAACCAAATAGTATCTACATATAAAAAAAAGAGTAAAGATGTATTTTTTTATAAAACAAACATCCTCTAAAAATAAAAAATAAAATAAACTTGTAGTAATACATATAATACCTTTTGGTGGCTTTGGAAAGTTTAATGTTGGTGTGTTGATTGCATGAAGAAAAACATGTGTGTCATGTGCTGATCTCTCCCATCCAATTGATATAAATGTGAAACACATATCAAAATCACAACTAGACATGACATTAAAGGTGGGGATTCCCTTTCTACCCCTATAAAGCATTTGCTCTGCCTCAAAAATACATGCAACTATACGGGTACCATCAATGCATCCAATACAATCATGTTAAAAAAATTAGATAAAGGTGTGTCCATCATGATAAGGAATAAGATTTCTCTCTCTCTCTCTCTCTCTCTCTCTCTCTCTCTCTCTCTCTCTCTCTCTCTCTCTCTCTCTCTCTCTATCTCTCTATCTCTCTCTATCTCTCTCTATCTATCTATCTATCTATCTATCTATCTATCTATCTATCTCTATCGCTCTCTCTCACACACACACCCTTAAAATAAGGCATGTACCGCTCGTCATTAGCAATATGAGTTGGTGCATACTGAAAAGTTGGATCCTTTAGTCTTATGATATCACGTGCTAGACTTTGGTAACCCCTACTTCTGCCGCTAATTGCTTCTAAAACCTCATGAAATACTCTATTAATGGCCTCTCCAGAATGTTGAAACTGCTTTCTAACATCCCTATTAGAAGCACCCATAGCAAGTGTATACACAAATAACCCACCTTCTTTACAACTGTCATTCTTTTACTTGGCAGTAATCAATATTTTGATTGTAAATCTTCACACAATTGTGTAAATAAAGTTGGATCCGTTCTGTTAGAACACATATTGGTTCTTAATATATCTCTATGTTTTGATGATAACATTAAAGAAATTTTGTATGAAGTAAATATATACTCTAATCGTATTCAAGTGTTTTTGTTTCAAATATTAAATTAATATTCCTCTGGAAGCAAAAAATCCTCTGAAAGTTAAGAATCAGAAGACTCTGAACGCTGGCTGAAAGAGACTCTGAGCGAAGCTGCAGAAGACTTTGAAGTGCTTGCTGAAGAGGACTCTGAAGCAGAATACTCTGAAGCACTTGCTGAAGAAAACTCTAAAGCAGAAGACTCTGGAGCGCTACCTACAGAAGACTCTGAGCACAGAGTATAAAGACTCAGAATATTCAGAAGACTCTGAGAACTTAACGCTGCAAGTACAAAGGCTCTGAGTCAAGTCAACTTTGATCATAACTCACGCTAAGCACTTTGCTGCAAGACTCTGAAATAGTGACTCTGATAAGAAGAAAAAGGAACAACATCAGAGGATCTGATGCAAGAATACTTTTCATATATGTTCAATTAAAAAGGAAGTGTTCAAGAAAGAGACGTTGCTAAACCTAAGGTCTACCAACGGTACTATTTCTCATTCGTGCATGACACAGGATTTCAGGCAAAAAGGGAATGTCAAATCAAAACGAAAAGTATTTGTCCTTCCTGTCTACATCCTACAGTACTTTCTTCTACACACTATTGAGAAAGTGGTGTATATAAAGAAGTCTTCATCAACACTTCAATAACTACAATTAACAACAATTGACAACAATTTTGCTACAACATTTTGAAAGAAAGAATTCAAAGAAGCAATTAAAGAAAACATTCAAACAACTTTCTACATAAAACTCTAAGTTTTATTCGTTCTTCATTTGTGTAAAATCACAGTTGTGATATAGATTTTTAGAAGCAACTCTTAAACACACATTGTATTTTACTTATTTGTAAAAGATTCCTTAAGAGACCAAGTTGTGGTTAGATTTCTTGAGAAGACTAATACTGTTTGTCTTAGTGATTAACACTGTAATCAGTTTGATTTAGTGGATTAAGTCCTTGATGAGAAAGGCAAATCACCTTGGTAGGGTGGACTGGATTAGTTTGAGTTCAAAAGAACCAGGATAAAAATACCTTGTTATTTTTACTATTGTCATAATTGTTATTTGAAACCCTTATTCAACCCCCCCCCCCCTTCTAAGTGTTTTTCCTACCTTTAGTTGGTATCAGAGCTCCGACTCTGTAGTGCTATCACTTAACAGTGAAAGAGAAAGATCCAGTTGGGAAAAACTCTTGATTTATTATTCTTGATTTATGATGGCTGAAACTTCAACTTCATACAACAACAAATATGATGATAGAGATATAATCAACACAAAAACTCCCATGTTTGATGGAGAGAAATTTGACTATTGGAAAGATAGAATAGAAAGTTTCTTTCTAGGATATGATGCTTATCTATGGGATTTGGTCAATGATGGTTACATTCAACCCACTGATGGTGAGGGCAAAAAGGTTGACAGAAAGTCAATGACTGACCAACAGAAAAAGGATTTTAGAAATCATCACAAAGTCAGAACCATTCTGTTAAATGCTATATCTCATACTGAGTATGAGAAAATTACAAATAGAGAAACAACATTTGACATGTTTGAGTCATTAAAGATGACACACGAAGGAAACTCCCAAGTGAAGGAGACAAAGGCCTTAGCGCTTATTCAGAAATACGAAGCCTTCAAAATGGAGGAGTCTGAATCTGTGGAAACTATGTTCTCAAGATTCCAGATCCTAACTGCTGGTTTGAAGGTTCTGGATAAAGTTTACTCCACTTCTGACCATGTCAAGAAGATCATCAGAAGCTTACCAACAAGGTGGAGACCAATGGTTACATCGCTGAAGCTGTCAAAGGATCTGAATAAGATCACTATGGAGGAACTTATCAGTTCCTTAAGAAGTCATGAAATTGAACTGGAAGAAGACGAGCCTCAGAAGAAAGGTAAGTCTGTTGCGTTAAAATCTAACAAATTTGCTAAAGCTTTGCAGGTAATTGAAGAAAGCTATGAAGAATCTTCCTTAGAAGAAGATGAACTGTCTTTGCTGTCCAGAAGGATAAATCAACTCTAGAAGCATAACCAAAAGAAGTTTAGAAACTTCAAGAGATCTGATCAACGTGGAGAATCTTCTGGACATAAAAAATCTGGCAAGAAAAAAGTTGTATGCTATGAGTGCAAGGAGCCAGGTCATTATAAAAATGAATGTCCCAAACTTCAGAAAGACAAACCCAGAAAGAAGTTTGAAAAGAAGAAGAAAGTTCTGATGGCCACGTGGAATGACTCAGATGCTTCTGAATCCTCATCAGAGTCAGAGGAAGAATGTGCAAATATAACACTGATGGCTGACGTGGAGGACCACGAAGAAACATCTGAATCTGGATCAGAGTCAGATTTAGAAGAGGTATTTTTTGAACTTACCAGAGCTGAACTTGTTGAAAGTTTATCTAAAATGCTTGAAAACTATAGTAGGATCAAACTCAAATACAAGAAGCTTTAGAGTTATCTTGCATCTGAGACTGATCAGTTGAGATTAGAAGTTGCTGAGCTAAAAGGAAATAATCTTAAAATAAAAACTGATTTAGAAACTCCATTTATTGAAAGATGGTGACCGTGAAAAGGGGACGAGGGCGGCCGAAAGCTACGGTGCCACCATCACTTGAAACTCTCACCAGCTTGAAAACACCAGAACATGAATCAAGAAACACCATTGTTGCTGGTCAGACTTCGGGGAACGCTTCAAGAACCATCATTGGAGAAGACAAAGCTATGACAAATACCTTGGTAAGGGAGAACAAGGAAACCCTAACAGAACCAACACAACCACAACCTGAAGAGCGTAAACCATGGGTTGATGTGATAAATGACAACCGGAACCCTGCAAGAGGAATGGCTATCGAGTACGTTGCGCCAAAGCTCATCAACGGAGTGTTTGAAATAGACACTGAACAAGAAGACATCGAAACGGAAATACAATTTTGGGATAATGCTCTAATCCTTTATATTGTGGGTGATGACCTGAGTATGAACACGGTGAAGAACTTTATGTAAAGAATGTGTAATTTCGTGAAGATGCCAGATCTGTATTACCACGATGATGGTTATTTTCTGATCAGATTTAGCTCCCAAGAAGACTAGGAAGCAGTTATGATGAAAGGACCATACCCGATTCGAAACATGCCCATGATCTTGAAGGAATGACAAACTGGTTTCAATTTGAAGAAGGATCTACTGAGAACTTTACCAATTTGGGTCAAACTTCCCTAACTTCCCCTGCATCTATGGGGGGACAAAAGTCTCAGCAAAATTAGAAGTGCTATTGGCAAACCATTGGTGACTGATGAATGCACTGCAAATAAGCTTCGTGTCTCATATGCAAGATTATTGATTGAGGTAGACATTACTCAACCTTTGATAGATGAAATATCCATTAGGAATGTTGAAGGAGATATAATAATGCAGCATGTGAACTATGAATGGAGACCAAAATTCTGCGAAACATGTCAAAAAATGGGGCACAAGTGCGTAGATCGTGGGAAGAAGCAACAATGGAAACCAAAACTTAAGCCACCAAAAATGTCCATAAATATAACACCTGTTAAACCACCAGAAATAGAGGACACAACAGAAGTAGGAAGGGATTCTTGGACAAGAGCACAGAAGTCTGTAAGGGATAAAGGTAAAAACATAGTTACTGATACAAACAACAACATCAATTGTAACAATGGTTTTAAGGCACTTGAGGTTTTGAATGACCATAAAGTGACCATCAACCTTGAACTATGTTAGTATCTTGGAACATAAGGGGACTCAATAAAGTAGGCAAAATTTGTGAGATTCGGTCCCGTCTCCAAGAGCTAAAGCCTGCTATCATTATTCTGATTGAAACCAGAGTAAAAGAAGATAAAGCCAAGAACATCCTAGAGAAACTGATGATATATGGAAATTATATTGACAATTACAAGGACCATCCAAATGGTAGAATCTGGATCCACTGGGATAAGAACATGGTAAATGTGCAATTCATTCGAAGTAGCAGCCAATATATCCATTGTGGTATCTATGATAACTGTGGAGTTCTCAAGCACTGGCTAACTGCAATTTATGCTCATAACCATCTAAATCAGAGGAAAACATTGTGGACAGACATTGAACACATTTCTGTTGGCATCCAAGGGCCTTGGTGTGTTATTGGTGATTACAACAATGTAATCAAATCCCAAGACAGAATAGGGGGAATTTAGTGACTGAAAGAGAATACGTTGATCTGGCAAATATGTTGGAAAACACTGGCCTAAATGAAATGGACATCATTGGGGATCATTTCACCTGGTCCAATAAACAAACAGCTGGTCCCATTTACTCTAGAATTGATAGAGTGTTAGGCAATACTGATTGGTTCCTCACTAATTTGGAGACTACTCTTAAAATCCTTCCTCCTAATATCTCTGATCATGCCATGTTGTATATGGTTTATAGCCAAAATCAGAGGAAATCCCCCAGACATTTTAAATTTAGCAATTGCATTAACGATATGCCTGGCTATGACACTTTGGTTAAGAAGAATTGGGATGGCCTCCTTAGAGGTGGTCCAATGTTTGTTCTTTGGCACAAACTCAAAAGATTGAAACAAGAATTACAACAATTCAACAAACCTATATCTGATGTTAAGACCAAATTGGCTTCTGCTTGAACTACCCTAAAAGAAATCCAAGAGCAGCTGAGGAGTGACAAATTGAACAACAATTTGATTTTGAAAGCAAGAGATCTGACTGAAGAAATCATAGCCCTGAATGAAATGGATTGGAAGATTCTGCAACAAAGAGCAAAGATTGATTGGATTAAAAAGGGAGATGGCAACAATCAGTATTTCTATGCTGCTATCAAGGCCAGACATCATTCCAATTGTCTTAACAACCTGAAGAAGAGAGATGGCAGTCAGACCACATCCAAATCAGACATTGAAGAGGAGGTGCTTAATTTCTACAACAACTTAATGGGCAAGGATGCTAAAAACATCAATTACATTGATATTGAGGCCATGAGGATGGGGAAATAACTTGACATTCACCAAAGGGAATACCTTATCAGACCTATATCAGAAAATGACATTACTACAGCTCTTAAGGGAATTGCAGACCTCAAAGCACCAGGCTTGGATGGATTTGGAGCCAAGTTTTTTAAAAGCAACTGGACAACTATAAGAGAAGATGTGATAGCAGCTGTTAAGGAATACTTTGAAACAGGAAAAATCTACAAAGCTTTCAACAATGTTGTAGTGTCCTTGATTCCTAAAGGACAAAGTGCTTCTGAAATCCAAGATTACAGACCTATAGCTGTCTGCACCACTTTCTACAAGATTATTTCAAAGATTCTGACCAACAGATTAGGAGCTGTCATTCCCAGTGTGGTAAACCATAATCAAGAAGCTTTCATACCAGGTCAGAACATCCATCAGCACATCATGCTTGCTACTGAATTGCTTAAGGGTTATAACAGGAAAGGAGGCACACCTAGAATCATGATTCAATTAGATCTGCAAAAAGCTTATGATATGGTTAATTGGAAGGCTTTAGAGTGCACCATGAAGGAGATGGGATTCCCTAACAAATTCATTCGTTGGATTATGTTGGGCATTACCACTGTATCTTATAGATTTAACATCATGGGAGAGTACACTGATATTCTGCAGGCCAAAAGGGGAATTCGTCAAGGTGATCCTTTATCACCTATGCTATTTATTCTCATAATGGAGTATATGAACAAATTGTTGATGAAAATGCAAAGAGACCCTAATTTTAACTACCATGCCAAATGCGAAAAGTTGAAAATCACCAACCTTACCTTTGCTGATGATGTTCTATTATTCTAAAGAGGTGATGAGATCTCTTTACATATGATTCTTCAAACTTTCAGGGCCTTGTCCATGTCCACGGGGTTAATTATGAATCCTAACAAATGCAGGATTTATTTTGGAGGTCTAGACAAAGAGAAGAGAAAGGTTCTGAAAGAGATATCTGGTTTCCAAGAAGGTACGTTTCCATTCCGATATCTCGGTATACCTCTGGTTGGCAGGAAAATAAACATCACTCATTTTATGTCCTTGGTGGATAGAATATTGGCTAGAATCCACCATTGGTCTTCAAAGCTTTTAAGTTATGCCGGCAGAATTCAATTGGTGAAAAGTATAACAACTGCAATGGTTCAATACTGGCTGCACTGTCTTCCTATGCCCAAAATCGTGATCAAGAAGATTGACTCCATCTGTCACAGTTTCATCTGGACCGGCAAAGATACAGTGAGCAGAAAGTGTCATGTGGCTTGGAAACACATGAGCTGTCCTACTGCTCAAGGTGGTTTGAACCTGATAAATCTGCAGATTTGGAACAATGTCCTACTCTTAAAATGCTTATGGAATCTGTGCAAAAAATCTGATACTCTGTGGGTGAAATGGATCCATATTCATTACTTTAAAGACAAGCAAATCATGAATTATGAAACCAAAACTCAAAGCTCTTGGATCATGTGCAACATTTTGAAACAAAGGGATACCATGGATCTAATTAGGAACGAATGGGATCAACTTCTAATTTCACATAAGTTTAAGGCGTCGGTTTTTTACAAGGTTCTGATTGATGACGGCACAAGAGTGCCTTGGGGAAACTTAATTAGATCCAATAAGAGCCGACCGCGAGCAGTTTTTTGTCTATGGCAAGCTTGCCATGGAAAACTTGCAACCAAGGATAAATTAAAGCGTTTTGGCATGATTCAAGACAACCAGTGCAGTTTATGTCATACCGAGGAAGAGACGATGAACCATCTATTTTTCTGCTGTCAAGGGACTAGACACATTTGGAAGAAAGTGCTCCATTGTTTAACATAGTTCATACACCTCAACCTTGGGATGCCGAGTTGATCTGGATAACTAACATGACTAAAGGTAAAGGCTGGAAAGTGGATATTTTCAAAATATTAGTGGCTTAAACCATCCACTGCATCTGAGGGTATCATAATAGTACTACTTTTGGTAAACCTGTAGATATTATAATCGTGGCTACTAACATTATAGATAACGTGACCTATAGAGGGTGGCAAAACCTTAAAATTAGGAAGCATCTTGTTAGTTATATGATGTAAAATGGTCTTTTTGTTGGGTTGGATCCTACGGGATCACCTCTTTTGTACTTCCTTTCGAATTAATATGTTCTTCTTTTAATTCAAAAAAAAAAACTGATTTAGAAAAAGCTCAACAAATGTCTGACTTAGATACTAGGTCATGCTCTAAAAACATTTTAGAAGAGTATGATTATAGTTTTCAGAAGTTTCTGTCCAGAGGCCTAGATAGAAGCAAAATGGCTTCCATGATCTATGGCGTAAGCAGAAACAATAGAAAAGGAATTGGATAAGAATCACCCTCTGGGAAGGATTTAAATCCAAAACCTGCTGATAAGCTGATCATAAAGTATTCTCTTATGCACACCCGTTTTAAATATGGTCACCTGCATGATATAAATCACACACGTACAGATCAGAACACTAAAGCTTTTGTTAAACCCAAATTTCGTCAGAACAAAGATGCTTTTAAGGGAAAGAAATTCAGACAAAATTTCAAACCTACTAACCCCAGAGGACCTAAGAAAATATGGGTACCTAAAGATAAAATAATCTTTGTTGCAGATGTCCTTAGCAGCAAAGTTGAGACACCAATCATGGTACCTGGACTCTGGCTGCTCACGACATATGACGGGAAGAAATTCTATGTTCCAAAGCATGGAACTTAGATCTGGAGGTGATGTGAAGTTTGGAGGGAACCAGAAGGGAAAAATCATTGGCTCTGGAACTATTGGTAATGGTAACCTCCCTTCCATATCTAATGTTTTACTTGTTGAAGGATTAACACATAATATATTGTCCATAAGTCAATTAAGTGACAATGGTTATAATATAATCTTCAATCAAAAATGTTGTAAAGCTGTAAGTCAAAAAGATGGTTCAATCCTCTTTAATGGAAAAAGGAAGGACAACATTTACAAAATTAATCTTTCAGAACT